GCAAGCACAACTGCCTATGACTGACATGCTTGCAATGAGGCACTCCCTCTGCTGCTGATAGAGTGGCCAAATAAACCTCACAATCTCAATTACTCCGCATGCCAATATTGCCTATAGTTTTTGTATAATTCTATCTGAACCAGTGCAAAGAACAGACTCTGCAACAGAAACAACGCACATACTCCTGTGTGGCTTTAAAAAAGCCTTTTCCCGCCCTCCCACCGTGAAGAGCACACACTGCCTGTACAGGGACTCCTCAGCTGCAGATAATTACAAATTCATTTTTTTTCCTTAAGTTCACAAACACCACATTATATTGTTTAGAAATCTGTTCAGATGTTAGATCACATTCTAAAGCTGATTTACAGGTCAGCTCTTTTAATGAAGTAACACTAAAGCACAGGTAAATTTTAACTTTCCCAGCCTGATTTTATTAGCAGCCTTGGAATTTATGCCTAAATATATTTCAGAAACTCCAGTTCATTCTCAGTCAAGCCAAGTCAGTGTGTGCAAGAACACAGCATGGTTATTTCCTGCCTCCCAGCTTCCTGATCTATACTATAAATAGTCCAAATAAGAATGTTTTTAAAACACTAGTGCTCAAGCCTTAATCCATGTTAGCTTAGTAGATAGCCATAAAATAATACCTCCGCATTCCCACCTCAGACCTTTACTTGGTTAAGACTTAATTAGTGGAAATAACGTCCCCTCCCAATCTTAATTTTGCACCTCATTGCTCTTTAAAGAAAAAAAGCAAGCTCAGATGACCGACTGACATCATTATTCGTGAAATCATAACCATCCTTTTGGCTGACATTTGGGAACAGCAAGTACCCTACGGGAAAACACCCATTTGTTGCAGTCTGACATGCTGCAGAACAGGATTAGTAGGATTTCCGTCAGCCAAATCCTACCTGGGAAACTTGAGGGAGCCCACCACAGTCAGCCATCTGAAACAGGAATGAAAACTGCCAGTTAGCATGATGCCAGAGGAACTAATTTATGCTCAGGATATATTAAAATGACCTTTTTAGCTATCTAGTAGAAAAACATTTCCTTTTGTTGTGCGAGCAACACATAGGTAGATGAAAGCATCAAAGTAAGCAGTTAAACGTTTATGAAAGCTATGACTTCACCCCAGAAAACCCCAAAGTGTCTTGACCCTCAGGCAAAGCATCAGCTGGAACTACAAATAAACGCTTCTTGCTAGGCAGTGATTACCAGTTTCTTAGAAACTAGCCTGTTGGTCCTGGTAACAAGCTCAGCTCTGAATTACAGTAACGTGACTCAGTATTGACCTGACCAACAATCAGGGGAGGGAGAACAAACACCTAAACCTCAGAGGTGAGAGGGAAAAACAATTTGCTGAGATTGCGGATGGCAAGCATCAGCCTGCCTTGCCAAGGGAAGCAGGGAAAGCCAAATTAGAAAAGCTATCTTGAGTGCATGCAGTATTTTTGGAGCACTTCATTTTTCCTGCCACTCCACCCCTCAAAGCCAACCCAACAAAAACAGTTCTGTTCCAAGGAACACCACAAGCTGAAAACAGTTGAGCTCTAAATTACAGGAAACCCCAAATCTATCTAGGATTAGTTAGCAGCAAAACAGGCCTGTAGCAGGATCTGGCATCAGCCATATCCCTGGACTGAGCAAAGGCTGGCCACTGACAGAGCATCTGAGATAGTGCCAGATTTTTTCTTAGGGTGAGTCTGCCATGTCCACATGGTAGGTCAGCAGTGTAACTCCTCAATGTTAGGAGGCAAAAGCATTTAAAAAAAAAAAATTGTTTATTATAATTTTCACTGACCAGTTCAATAAAGAGAGATGCAGTAAAAGTTCCCAGCAGAAGCATGACCAAACTTGTTTCACCATTTGCGTGCTATTACATGCATTCATACAATACACTCATTCCATTTTACTTCATCAGGAATGAGCTGAAGATTGCACCCATACTCTGAATGTCAAGTATTAGCCAAAGCCTTTGCATGACGTTTTGCTGTTTGGAAGTGCATTTTATCACCTTTTTCTAAAATGAGAGAGTCATTTCCAACAGTAAGATATCCTGCACTGTGCCCGCATAAAAGGCAGGATACTGCGGCAGATACATCAGCTGTCTATTCATCCGACACTACTGCTGAGGGGCAGGGAAGCAGGAACAGAAAGAGTTGGTTTGCACTTCCACTCTGCTGATGGCTTTTTTCAAATGTTTCGAAACACCTCGAGATCAACTTTGCAGCTCTAGTCAAATTCATTATGGGTATGTGAAATACTGAGTGTTTCAAGTTTCAACCCTAGCGTTTTAAAATGGAGGAGCTGAGAAATTCCCTGTTGTTAACCTTGACAAGAAGCCCTTAGTCTCATTTATCCCACTAAAATACTCTTACCCTAAAGGAACTGCCTTTCCACATCAGAACTGGATTCTCACTGTGTTATCTATACTGCAGCACATTGCTCTGGTTCTGCTTTTTTAATTAATCCAGTTGATTTTAAATGAGGGAAATGTTTATTTAAAAAAACAGCTTTCGTTATTACCTTCAGAAGTGTGGTCCTTGTTGGGTCCAGCTTTGAGTTGCATTCAACCTGTATTAAAGAACAGCAGCACAAGGCATTATACACAAGATTTTAATTATGAACTGCTGGATGAAAACAGATTAAATACCTCATCTCTGGCTTAATACAGACCAAATCAAGTATCTTAGGCTTCTGTATAAAGACTCTCTATGTATATATATATACACACATCTTTAAACCCAAGTAGGTCAGTTCACATTTCTGACTGTATTCTTTCCCATGTACAAACAAACCTATTAGCTGGGAATTGGAGTTTTTTTATCTGTTTCTGGGACTCCAGTGGCAACAAGTTTTGTTTATCTTGTGATTTGGGGTCATCTGGTAGCATCCCAAGTGGTGAGCAGCCATATGGCCACAGGCCAGCAGACTGGGTATGCCCGTTAAGGCACAACATTTGAAGTCACCCAGTCATCTGGGGCGAGTTACAATGGTCAAAAAGAAGCTCTTTGCTTCCATAGTGACCCAGGGCACAGCTCCAACACCACAGAACAAGTTAAAATACCAGCAGCAGATTCCTCTCTAAAGGAAAATATTTGCGGTTCACTGGAACTGCTGTGGCGATTGTTCCTAACGCAGTAGCTATTAAATAACGGTGCACAGACAGAGGGGACAAACAGAGAGGAATTAATGGCAGCTCTCCCGCGGTCTGAAAGAGGAGAGCCAGCTGGGCATGATCGATAGCCAGTTAGGTTGCTGCGTGGCTATGAGCTCTGCCGGCCTCGCGCAGCTTCTTGGCTTGCCTGCCCATTAGCATGGTAGCAAAGACGGCTTGATATACGCACCACGGCATCCACCGCCGGGGAGCTGTCGCCAACCACCAGGAGGACAGGGCATCTGTAAGGAAGCACACAGAAGCGGTATCATCTCTGTGAGCTGATCTGGACTTGCCCTAAGCTGCACTTTGTGTTGCTGGAAGGATAATACAGTTAAGTTTGAGAAAATCACAGAATGGTTTGGGATGGAAGGTACCTTAAAGACCACCTGGATCCAAACCCCCTGCCGTGGGCAGGGACATCTTCCACCAGACCAGGTTGCTCAAAGCCCCATCCAGCCTGGCCCTGAACACTTCCAGGGATGGGGCATCCACAGCTTCTCTGGGCAACCTGTTCCACTGCCTCACCACCCTCACCGTGAAGAATTTCCTCCTACTATCTGATCTAAGTCTTCCCTCTTCCAGTTTAAGGCCATTGCCCCTTGTCCTATCGCTACCTGCCCTTGTAAAAAGTCCCTCTCCAGCATTCAAAATTATTTCGTTTGTATTCCAGACATGTTAAATATACATCAAATCCACTGTATTAGCTGCACATCTACTGACACGCCCTGGTATCTTGCCTGAGAACCTGTCCTTTTCCCTGCCTTGTTGCAATCAGCCCTTCCTGGTGCTCTTATTCCTTGTTTTATAAGAAATTTAATGTAGGCATCACCCTCACTCCCTCAGGCCTCTGAGCTCCAACTTTTGGACCTGTCCATCCCCTTTCAACCAGACTGGCAGAGGAGCAGAGTCTCAAAGTCTCCTGTGTGCAAACGTCAGCAGCTAAGCAGAGAAGGACTTGACAACTGTCACGTTGCACAAGTTACAGTCTAACTGAAAAGTCAGTAGCAGAAGATCTGGCAGATAGTCATTCTGATATCTGCTCCATCTTCTTGATGCTTTTTGTTCGGTTGGGTTTTTTAATGGGTTTGGGTTAGGTTTTTTGGTTGTATAGGCACAGATTAAGTGCATTCAGAGCTATAGCTTCCATTAACTACAACATATTTCTGGATGATGCTAAGCACAACTACTTTTCAAGTACTTACTCTGTAAGCCCAAGCTTGCAGATACACAGTGACAGGAACTACTTAGACTTCCATTTCAGCTAATATGATTGTGAAGTTTGAAGAGAGAAGTCTTCCTAACGGCAGTCCCTGACTTGCAGTAACTTCTTATCTCCTGCACAAAGTTACAAGATCCTTTTCTAGCACATAGCACATTCAGCTACAGCTCTGCAATGCATATGCAATGCACCCACTAATCACACCTCTTAGCTGACATCATGTACAGGTGAACTGGTAGGAAATAAAATACTTACTGAAGAGTGACAACATTTATTCCAGGAACAGGGCGCTCAATCTCTAGGTCTCGTCGACTGAAAAAAAATTAAGAAGACAAAGGCTCTTGATACACTGAAATATTACAGATAATTCCATATTCTTATAGTTCAGAGAAAGCACACTCACATACATTAATTTAATCTGATACATGTTGTAGCCTCCACAACTGATAGAGAACCACTCTTAAGACTGAAGTATCAATGTCTTAGTTCAGTCCCAGTGTATCATCTTTCTCCCCACAAATGCACAAGGTCCTTCTCCCATAAGCAAACCACCTGAGATCCCTAAAGGCACGGTCAAGCAGAACTTTATACTGGGCGAACACAAGTAACCCCACCACACAAGTAATACTGGCTCCAAGAGCTGGACAGTCTCTTAGAGAAGTTTCCAGTTAGAAACCAGGCCAATGCATTTACCTGTTGTAAGAGTTGACAAAGAGATGAAGGTTGTTTTGATTCATATCGTTAATAATATGCTGACGATAAGTATGGATCAGGTCATGGTTGCTGTGAATCTCTTCCTACATCAGAGAGAGAATTGTTCAGAATAGGGACTATTTTCTGAAAGGCTTTGAAGACATGGCACAGCAGTCATGTATCAGACTTAAATCTACACAACAAGAATGCACCTTGAGGGAAAGGACAACTTCCAGCACCCAGTGGAGTCACCCAGAATTAATATTATCCTCCGATTGTAGTACCACATTTTTTGTTTTAAAACTTCAGTATGTTGTAATGTCAAGATCTTATGATTGCAAAACATGTAGTTGTAGTGCAGATGATTACAGTCAGACAAGTGTGAGGTTTTAAAATGAAAAAAGATTGAGGGTAAGAAGCTGAATAAATGTTCCAGGGTAAAGCAGATGTTGAAACCTTACAAATGTATGTAATGTGGAACTCAATTTCACAATAGTAAATGACTAAGCTTCAAGGACTTCAATCACTAACATTTTCAAACAGTTTGGTTCGAAAGTCTTTACAGATTAGTTCCTTGTTCTGCTGGAATGGAGTTTTCCATTGCATTTACTAACAGTTTCAAGCACAGCAAAGCAGTCTCAGAAAACTTTTTCATTAAAGTAGGCTTGGACTGAAGAGCACCATTAGTACTAACAACCAGCTTTCTCATAGTTACAAGTATATTAAGGTATAAAAAAACCTGTGGGGTAATTCTGCTCAGAACATGAGCACATACAACAGTTATACTCATGTTTAAGTGTTGGCTACCTAAGCAAGGAGCTGCCCCTACTAGAGCTGTCATGACTGAGATGCTCTTGAGGCATCAGGACACAGCAAGCCCCATGGCAGCATGCCACCTCCAAAATACTGGGAACACAAGTATGAATCCTATCTCACAGTTTAACTTTATACTTTGTTGTTTAAGAGAAGGCTTTTCCCCTCCTCCCAGCCCCAGGAGGTAAATACAGATGACTGAATACACCAGAGGAATCTTTTGAACATCCTTACCTTTCCAAACAGATGTGAAATGACCATGTCTGGTAAAGCATTTGTCCAACCTGAAATCTGAACAGCAAGATTATCTAAATATCTGATATTAAAATAATCCTTAAACAATTGAAACCTTTCATTTACCCATAAGTAGACCAATTGATGTTTCTCTGCTGTCCTTATATATACAATATCCTAAACTGATATTTTTTTCCCCCTCAATTCAAATAAAACACCATTACGGGTTGTTTACATTTGAGTCATTCTCATAAGACGTCTTTACTAATGCAGTTATATCGGGAACACACTAGTAGTGCCATAGGTATATACGGAATCACTCCCTGCAAGAACACCAGGTGAATCAGCCACATGGGTGTCATTTAATCTCACTGCTCCATCTCCTCCCTAACAACCCACACTGACAATACATTGGAGCTGGTACCTAAAGCTCATGTCCCAGAGTACATGCTCTTGCTTTGGAAGGACAGAAGGATACAGGGCACCCACTGTACTCCTAAGATCAGAAATACTTAAGAGAGGTGGAAGGCAGAGGCATAGATATGGAAGAATTAAATTACAGTGAGACATGGGGTGAGATAATCAGAATGGGTTAACTGGTACATCTCAGCATAGAGGAGTTACTAAATATATTTCCAGATCAAATTTACCAAAATAAAGTGGTATGCAAAGTAATTTTAAAAAAAATTAGTAACTAAGCATTGAAAGAACATTACATCCCAGCTCTGGAAAGCTTCTCCTAGTATTATAAGGCTGTCATTACATTTAATATCACCCTAGACACTTACAATGGGTTTGCTCTACGTGTGGTTAAAAGATGATGCACTCATTTTTGTACTTCTTGGAGTGTTTATAACAACTGCCGTTCACTTAAACATGACCCTGAATGATACAAAGTGCCTTGCATCAGTTTACCCTGAAAAATGTTTTAACAGGCTAAATCTGAATGACACGTAATATAACATCTACACTTATTTATATTACTGGTTCCAGGAAGATTTTTGAAACCAGTTTTCAGCACTTGTTTTCCCACATTGCAGTCTTTCTCACAACTACAGAAGAATACAGTTAGCAGGAGCCTCTTTATATATGAACATTTTCACTTAAAAGTCTGGTTGTATGGATAATCTGTCCACAGTTACTGCAGCTAATGCCCTTTTCTGAGTCATTTTTGGCATCTAAGACTCAGCTAGATAATTGATACATGGAAGATGTTGTTCTGAACATTTTTCTGTGCTCTAGTTCACATTTTGGACTATGCTGGTAAACAAAGCCATGGACAAGAAAGAACTGAGTGTTACACTATGCTTGAAATTTACTTGAAAGAAAGTTGTTTCCAAAACTACCCTAGGTCCAGCTTAAAACTAGGTTTTCCCCAGCAGTTCCCAGCTCTTAAGAATTGTCCATACCCAATAGCTCCATTATACCATGGGTATCTGTTTCCTCAAAGTACTTATTTTTATCACTAGCCCTACAGGAAGTATGTTTGCAAATGGAAGAATAAATCACAAAGGAATTAGCCTGGGATATTTTGTGTCTGCAGCCATGCCTTCACACACAAACTTGCCCAGCTCCTCGTGCTTGACAGGTTCGCAGTATGATTTATTTTTCTAACTTAAAAGTGTTTACCTTAGTTGCTGCCCAGTCCATCCAACCTTCAGCACAAGGGTTTACATTAATAAGAACTAATCCCTCCACCATCTCTGCGTGGTTTAACTGCAAAAGAAAAGATTTAAGATTCATCACATATCCTTTGCAACTTGACAGTCAGCATAAAATTTGGATTACCAAATTATCTCCTGCGGAGGAAGGCGGTAGGTCTAGTTTTGTCTTGCACAAAACAAGCATATGTATGGAAAAAAAATTTTCATTAAAGCCATTCAACTGAGCAGCTGGAGAACATTAAGATTTAACTTCTTCTCCACCCTCAGTTTAAATAGAGAACTCCCATTAAAAAAACCTTCTGCAAATTAACTGGGTAGAGCCCAAGCCTTAAAATGGAAAATCTAGGTCTTCTGGATTAGCTATCCCGCAGATTGTGGTATTTCATTTAAAAGCCTAACTGCTTACTTAAATGGGCAAGGCAGAGCAGGAATTCTCTGCACACGCTACGGGGGCAACAACACGTCAGGAAAATCAGGTTCGAGGCTTTGGGGAAGCTCCACCAAACTTACAGCAAATCTGGTTAAGATGTAGGCACCGGCTCCAGTTCCCATTCCTATAACAGTCTTCAGCCTGCAGAGCAATAAAACGGAAGAGACAAATGAGTAAGAGCACTAAAAATAAATAAACTCGTCTCAGCAGTCGTCTTCTTTCACATGCCAGCATGTATCTACAGAAGGGTGGGTTGCAGCTTAGGCAAACCATGGACCCTCAGCAATGCCATCGACACCAGTAAGGAGCTCAGTGTAGCAAGTGGTTTGTTTTTGGTAGATTTGCACAACACTGGTCCTCATGCATTGCAGGGCAGCAGCAATTCTCACTTATCTTTAAGTAAATATACTGAGCAACCATAGCATTGTTCTGATCCTGGAAGGAAATAGTCTCTGCCAGAAAAACTTGTAAGACACAGTCCTGAAATCTGTAGCCTAAATACAAAGCTCCCCCCTTCCCAGGCTCCCCCTGCCCTCCCCGGTACAGCTATCCAGCTGGGATGATGATTCCTCTCTAACAGGGGGCTGGCAGGGAAAATCTCTCATGCTATCCAGCCATTGAGGTGATTAAGTTTAAACTTCATAACCAAACAGGGCAGAGACAAACCAAATATTTGCATTAACTGAAATTGGTTTTAAAGCATTGCCTTCAACATCTTAGAAAATACATGGAAGGGAAGACTAGAAAAAAGAACACTCAGAAAAACAGGTTATACAATGCTTTTAGGAAAATATCTGAGGATAGTTTTCATTCTCATTAGCAAGATTAAATCAAAGCTTTCTAAGTACACTCCAGTTTAACTGATTTTCAAGGTACTGACATTATGTTAGCATTTTTTTCAGTGCAGGAGCACAATTGGCAACCCTGTGCTTTATATTAGGCATTTCAAAAACCACATCTCTTAGGAAGGTAGTGAGGTAAACTAGTCCGAGGTACTGTAACAGCTGGTTACAACAACTGAACAATGTCTAAATTGGGGTGCTGGTCTAAGACTAAAACCCTGCCAGCAGTCCAGCCTGTCTGTTCTCCAAGGCTGCCTAACCCCGAATGTCAGGTTTTATCTGCTTGGTCTGAAAACCCCTTGGAGGTGCCTACCTGCATTCTTCATAGTGTACTAGGAGCATAAACTCTGCAGAAAAGGTATCTTTCTCAGCTACATCTCCTGCTAAAGCTAAGCTTTAAGGGAGAACACACACCTAAACTTGTTGCAGGTAAACAACAGAGGAACACTGCCACTAGGTCCTTTGACATCAGCAATCTGGCACACGCGCTTGGTAGTAGCAGAGCCTTAAGGAGGTTGGACCGACCCTCTGAGACACTCAAGCCACAGAAACAAAACAGTAAGTGTCTTCAGATTGGGATTACACTTTTCTTCTGCTGACCACACAGGAAAACGTGGTTTGTTGCAGTGGGAAGGACAGATTGTCTGTGCTCTGTCCCTGTGAGGGCAACATAGAGAAAATACTGGAGGAAGTCCCTAAATTAGGCACATGGGATTTCACTCAAAGTTGCTTCCTGTTTAAAAATAAACAGACATTTCAAAAAAGGCCAAAAAATAAGCTCTTTCAGAAACAAAGGCAAAAGTGACCCATCTATAACAGAGGAATTAAAAAAAAACAGCCACAACCATAATTCTAGCAAACAAAATGCCAGATGGCTAGACCGAAGCTTCAGGGGCAGCACAGGTGAGTATCTATCTGCTCTGCCCTGCTCTTTCGGTGTGCCACGTGGAAAGAAGAATGAGGAAAATAATTAAATACTACTGTGCTCACCCAAACTGTTTCAGGATCCCGGGAAGCATTTCAGCCAGCTGATCCATGGAGGGATATACGTACCTACAACAAATACGTTTGTGGAGTTACTACACCGCTTTCAGTAGAGTAGGCTGGGATATTTAGAGACACAGCAGTCACTGTAGATTTAATATCAAATCTGATCATTACGAGATCATTGACAGTATGAGCCGAATTTAAATCAGGAGCAAGCACAAGTAATCCATTTGGCACAAATATGAGCATAATCTGTATGGTACTTTATGTGAGTTATAGGATGATAGATGTCTGCTCCAGCTCAGAGCAAAACAAACCACAATGAATCTCTTCCAAGAAAAGTTAACACTTAAAACTTATGAAAAAAATTGAACTTGAGAGGTGAGTTTCCAACCACATTCACCACATTTGTACTTCTAGTCTACCACAAAAAAGTTGCCCCATGTTGCAGAATCACAGACTATAGCAATGAGATCTATATTTTGGCAAATAATTCGCATGCATGTTTTCAGGGACACACAAATTACCATAGGATAAATGAGGGTAGCTTTCTACTAATATTGATGGAGAAACTGGAAGCATAGGAAAGGCTGTGAAGCAATAAACCAGCTGTCAGCTAATGCTCCTGGTCTTCTGCAGAGCAGAAACAAAATTTTGAGGGCAGGAAATTCTGAGCAAAATCTCAACTGAGCAGCACATGGAAAAAATCCACCCAAAGTAGCTGGAGCACATCTGTCTAGGATGTATCCAAATCTCTGCTTCCCATCAGGACTACATATAATCATTCTCTAGTTTAGTCTCCAAAATAAAACCAAACAACAACAACAAAATATCAAAGTGCAGAACTACTTTAAGTTATTTTCTTAGATTTTCTTGTTGGGAAACTAAACCTTGTCATGACAAAAGCTTGTGTCATCGCAACAGCAGTGACTTTTCACTTGAGCGTGCTGGTCTACCAGCTGGAGGGCTGGGAGAGATAACACAGATTGTTGTACTGTCACCACAACGTTATTAAGCAGTGGTCTTTACTAACATAGAGAGTGATGGCTGCCCTATGCAGCTGACAACTCAGAAGTGTTAACACTTGTTCAGGACATGAGGGTTAAGACACTTAAAAGCTCGTGGTTCAAACAAATACAAAGGGGAGTGACTGAAATAGCTTTGTAGGCTGCTCTGGTAGACAACGGGGCCACTGCAGTTAACACTAGCTGAGAACCTGGCCCATCATGACCTCGTCAGCATCAGACCAGCTTAAAAATTAAGAAGGGAAATAGACTGGCTCATGCAATAAGGGTACATATAAGCTCCTTAATACCTAGTTCTTACAGAACAACTGTTCTTTGCCTTGTACCCTGTCCTCAGCATGTTGGCTGCTCCCTTTCTCAACAAGCTGATTCCTATCCAAGGGGCATCTTAAGGCAAACCTGTCTCATTTGAACAAAGTGGGACAAGCATTTTAGCAAAGACAATGCTCACAGCACAGAAAGTTTCCAAGAGTTACAGCATCCTACATGATACACAGGAGTATGCAGCCATCTATGATATGCTGGGGGCTACATCACTTTGTTACTGTCCAACAACTTGGATTTTGCAGATAGGTTCTCAAGACTACTTATCAACACCTACCATGCTGCCATTTCATAAAAAAAATGGATTTAGGAAGGACATTATATAGTGGCTAATGCCTATCTTGTTTATAGTAACAATTTAGTTTCGTATTTGTATTCAGGATGTCATTACAAAACAAGGTAACTCAATATTTAAATTGACAGATGTAAACATCTATCAAGGAACTGCTCTACAAGCAGTCTAGTTATCAGAGATAAAACACAAAATTACAGCCCCAAAGTCTACTGTGAACCGGCACAACACAACAGAGCTCACAGAGCTCCAGTACCTTAGAAACAGAGTGTCAGGATTTAAGTTCAAAAGCCAACTACTGCGTCTGCTGCAAGTGCTTTTTAATTAAACTGCAGATCGGGACTCTTTTTCCAGAAATGGGGTAACTCTGAAAGCATGGGCTGTTTCCCTGACAACTCACCCAGCTTGGAAAGACGGTGCTCCATCCTGCTGACCAGGTGCATCCACATGGCAGACTGCAAAGTGCTGGGTGATTTCCTGCATATCCTCAAAGTTGAAGAGAGGATTGAAGCAAGTTTTATCTTGAGAAAGAAAAGGAAATATGGAATAATTATGCTGAAGGGAAATAGTAAGTTTGCAGCTATAATAAAATCATTTATTAACCTGTCCTGCAGGTTAATGAAAAGTTGGTTCAATTAGGTGAAGTATATTATAGCCTGGGAAAAGTGGCAGTTCTTTATTTCTAAGGAGAAAAGACCAGTAAAGCCCTGCTACAAAGCAATCTGTGCCAACTTGCTTTAATTCCTTGGAGCAAGAACCCTGAACAGCTCCTTCTTCATGGCCAGCTAAGGTTTATCCATGTTATTTTGTTACCTGCCAGAAGTATTTGCTTCATACACCAAAACCTCAAAAAATAATTCTTTATGTAAAGTTAAAATACTAATAAAATGCAGTCAGAAGTATTCATCCCAGGTTTTGGCTTAGATGAAACTATCCATTTACTTGTCCAGTCATTTTTCTTTGGACTGTGTCAAAACAGATGGAGGAAAAAAGTATCCAAGGCTGAGATCGTGACTTGTGCTTTTGCCCAAATATTACAAGATAAACACTACATGACTGGCTGCTGCAGGCAGCTCAAGACAAAAGCGCCCTTCTGAGATACTCAGTTCTCCGGGCTCTAAACTTTGAGGTGATTTGATTTCTGATTTTCAAGTAATATTAAGGCAGGGAGAGGGTTAGAGTATTTTCCTCCTGGAGTGGAAAGCAAGAATTCTGTAGCATCATCTTTGAGACGCCTAGAAAACAGTTCAATATTCTGTGTGTTTCTGCATGTCCTCACACAATATACAAGCAAAATCATTGCAGAATATAAAACATTTTTAGTTAAAATCAGCTTTAGAAGAATATACAAGTTTGGGAAAAGGATCTTCCCCTTTCAAAGGGACAGAAAGTTTATTCATCATAAAGACAGACTTCGTAACCCTAGAAAGAAAAGTCTTATGCAAACATGCGATCCAGATTAAGCTCTGTCCTGATCCACTGAAAATCCAAAATAAAGTAAGACAGTTCCACAAAAAACAGGCAAGAAGACAGATTTATTTTTTTTCTTATGAGTAATATCCGTTCCCCAGCAATAGCCAGACTTTAAAGATCTGCAGGTATTTGTAAATGTAAATATTGATACCTGATTAAGAAACAGTAAAGTGTGTGAAGCAAACAGTACTGGTGAAAAGAACAAATTAGAGCAGATCTGGATATTAGGTCATTATATTCTTGGATATGACAGATAAAAGGCACTTATCAAAGTTATTTTCCTAATACTGAGTAAGGACACAATGCCAGCACCCATTTCGTCATCCTGATTTGATGTGTAATTCATATAAATCCATGGCAGCATAAGACTGGTTATCAGACAGGAACCTAAGACAAAGCACCAGCAATACTGTTTTCAATCCTGCTGGCAACACACCCTCAGCCACCCCCTACAGATGTTTTTACAGCATTTATGCACAGCAAATCTGAGTGACCAGAGATCTTTTGCTCCTTTAAGTGAAATCACAGAATCATAGAATTGTTTAGGTTGGGAAGTACCTTTAAGATCATTGAGTCCAACCATAAACCTAGCACAGCCAAGACCACCACTAAACCATGTCCCTAAGCACCACATCTACACGTCCTTTAAATACCTCCAGCAATGGTGACTCCATCACTTCCCTGGGCAGCCTGTTCCAGTGCTTCACAACCCTTTCGGTGAAGAAATTCTTCCTAATATCCAATCTAAACCTCCCCTGGCACAACTTGAGGCCATTTCCTCTTGTCTTATCACTCATTACTTGGGAGAAGAGAGCGACTCCCACCTTGAGAAGAGACCGACCCCCACCTTGATCTTCCAATTATTTACTCTGCAAGGATAAAAAAACCTGAGAACTAAACTTGCTGTAAGAGAAGAGTTAGGTACCATCCAACAGGTTGCAATGCACATAAGCAAGGACCTGGGAAAGGCTTCCTAACCATCGCTGCTTCCACACCTTTGATTACGGTAGTGGTGTTAAGGAACCAGGCCACATCTGTGCTATTAAATAAAAAGTCTACTTACGATTCAGCCCAATGTCGTGGTAGGTGAGGATAGCTGGCCGGTTCCCTCTGGGAGTCCCACACATGGTGACATGGACCGAGCCATGCACAGTCTCCACATCTTGCTCCTGGCAAAGAAAAGCAGGAATCTGTTAGGGGCTTGTTCAAGCATTCCCCTGAACACCCCCAGCAGCAACCTCTATCTGACCATGAGTACAGGTCCTGCCCCATCCCAGGGTCTGCCTGCAGCCCCGGGGGTCTCCATCATTCCCGTGCTAATACACTCCATTCTCCCCCACCATGGGGACTCTCTGCGAACATTTTACATTCGGTTGTCACCTACTCCAGCCCACAGACAACTACAGAAGCACTTAAGATGCTAGCTCTAACCAGATGCTGTGGGAATAGTTAAATAGTTTTTTACCTCATTAAAAAGCAGCATAAGAAAAAAAAAATAAAATAAGAAAGCAGTTTGGTGCAATGACACCTAAAATAACAATAGTTTACAACTATGACTGTTGACATTTGCAAAAGTGCAAGTTGCCAAGACAAAATACTTCTTTTTTTCTAGGAAAAGCACTTTAACTCAGCAAATAACTAAGAAAGCAGTATTAAGCAGCCTGTATTCACTATAAAGACTTATCACACTGTGGGGCCTTGTGATTATAGTGGCCCTCCCCAATAAACATGACAGCCACATATGTTAGTTTTATGGCTTGCTATGTATAGACCTGGGTATAAACCCAACTGTCTAAAGTTTGTTATAGAGCAGCATATCCACAGCATTGTTGTGGTGATTATCAGAGAAACAACATTAAGAACCATACTGCTATTTGACATAACAGGAGTTTGTACTATTTAATGATCTTAAAGTTAAGGACACTTTGATTATCGAACCAAAGTCACCCTGAATATCATCTTTTATTTACTGGACGTAAATTTAATGTAAGTTAGATGTGACTTGGGTCATACTAACAACCACAACATACGGAACAGTATTTTGTTTCTTTTGCACTTGAACTTCAGAAGGGTATAAACAGTTTGTTATTTTGCCAACATGTATAAAGAGAATCAGAAAGCAATAGTTATTTAAGTCACTTATTTACAGTATCATTACACTCGCATAACAGTCAAGACAGTATATAGTTAGCAGCCAGTCTTAGCATTTCACTAGAATACTTTATTTACTGTACAGGACACAGATACCCTCATGTCATTCAGTACAGTGCACTGTCTGCTGCTGCAGGGTTTTCTGGACTTGCTCCATGCAGTAATGCCCAGAGGCAAAGTCCAAGTTAAATTCAAACCTATTACAAAGTATGCTGTAGAAATCAAGAGCGTACAGCCTCTGCAAAAACCTTTACAGAGCAAAACCCAGAAGCTCTTCAGAGATCTGAGGTAGTAATTTGATCTAAATCTCAGCTCCTTAATTTGATACATGGAATACATCACACAATTTTTTGAAAATAAGGATGCTAGGCAACAACATTCCACATTTCACCTTGTAATTACAAATTTACATCATTTTTAAGTTACAATTACAGCAATGAATCAAGATCATCCGCCCTCCCCTTGTACACCGAGTGAGCTGAGCATCGCTGCTATCTGAACTATATGCCACTGAAACACTAGTTTTCAGCTTTTATCTCTCCTCAAAGATTCATTCCTCTGCATACTCACTGCATTATTCAGCAGGTAAGCTGTATCTTCCATATCCAGCACCATCTTTAGGCAAAACAGGGTGATAAATCCAGCAAGTCAGACAGAGGACAGTAGCTGGTTTCTACTTTGTCCAAGTAGCAAACTGGGTTATATAGACAAGCTACTATCCTGTACAGGCTTATGACTCCCATAATGCCCAACCAGAAAAAACGAAACAGACTAATTCATGAGGATGTCATTCTTAAATAGGATTTGAGTCAGGTTTGACCAGGAGAAGTACTTACTGAATAGAGCTCAGACATCAAAGACGAACTAAGTCTCTGCCACACAATGTACAGAGTGCCAAATTTCAAACCTGGGAATTAGTAAAGTCTTTCCTGTTGCTGTTTCCATCAGGTTTTGATAAGTTTAGCTTCATTTTAAGTTTTATCTCAAATGCTAGAACACTCTGAACTTATTCTAAATTAAATCAGAAGCAAGTTCTTTCCTAACAGCCAGGATTAAAGTTTCCAGTAAGAACACAAAAGACTTAAAAATTAGTGTAAGTCAGAATGATTCTGTACAACAATAAAAATGAGGGCTTTAAATGTTTGAAATCTAGTATTTTTCAAAGCAGATAAGCAACATCTAGTCTAAAGTATTCCTACATCAGTCATACTAATGCCACCGTAAGTTTCATTTTTGGTAGAAAATAGGGTATTGTAGGTATATTCATTATACATACTCCAGAAGAGGTTTGCAGTAGCTATAGATAGCGATTAATCCTAATAGCAACTAATAACAACAGCAGTTAATATTTTCCATATTCTACCTTCCTTTTGTACTTAGATAATTTTCAATACAAGGCATAAAAATCAATAGTTTGGCAATCTTAACACCAGTAATGAGAGTAAGTGATATTGTGTAAGACACCTCCTGCTGAGTGTGGAATATAGAAACAGTTTCCTCCTCAGAGACAAACAGGCATGTCGTACCATCAGAGTTTTATTGCTAGATCCTTCCACTAACAGCACTAAAAATACAGGACATGTTTTCTTTGCAGGGACTACCTTTCAAGATTTGGGATCTTCCTCCTTTGTGCATGAAAGAAAAAAATCTGTTCACAGTAGATAAAGCCAGACCCTTGAACCTGCACATCCCACTGACCTCCACAGCTAATTCTTCTGGAACTGGAAGCCTGAGCCTAGTTCAAACTCAGCATCAACTAAAAATAGTTCAGAGACAACAGACGACCATACTCCTAATTACTGGCATAAATCACAGTCCGTTTAACAATTGGTTTAATTCCTCATTATCTTCACAGTAAGACTCCTATAATACAAGAGGGTTGTGTTATTTTCCATTAGTGCCAATTCTTAACAGAGAATACCCAAAAGGTTCTCCTAAAAACCAATAAATTTAAACCAGTTTCTTCGGTGACATCAAACCAACAACTTCACATCCCTATTGAGCCTATTAAAGATCAAGAGATTTGTCTACGTGATGTAGAGATGGATGTTTTCAAAATGCCAAGCACTGAAAACAGATGGCAGCACATCCCAATCAACGTCAACATTATAGTAAGAGGCTCTTCACCAACTGATTTGTATTAAAACACTATCTTGGAAAAAAATCCAAGGTACACTAATCCGATAGAAGGATAAAGACAAACACACCATCTGTTCACATCTCTCACTTTAACAGAGGTGCAGCCTTATCTTAGTGCCCTAAAAACACACACAAAAATACTTTTCATACGTACAATTAATTTAAGAGAGGCTATCTTAGATGGAAGGAGCTGATCCATTCTAAAGTAGATTTTATTTTTGAGTTAAGTGACACTTTTTGATGTTTTGTCATGAGGTTAGAAGGAGGAGCCAATTTGTAAGTCAGTAACACAGGAGAGCTCATTTATTCCTTTCCCTCTCTACCGTGGCTAAGGAAGACATGGATTGAGGAACATGTTTATGAACAAGTTGTTTTCTGAAGTATGGGATATGTAACCAAAACGCTTCAGATATCTAAAAAGGAAAATCACACACACATTGTACATTTTGCTAAAAATGCCATATATTGTATTTTAAGTAAAATACTGCATTCCATCAAGATTATTTTAAAGCTCTCAAACATACTTAATCCTCAATTACTATCTCGCGCTTTTACTTTAATTCATAATATGCCTGTTAAATACACCTCCCTTCCCTTGTCTCAGAACTGAGGGAAAAGCTTCAGAGCTTTTAAAGAGGATTTAAATTGCTTTTAAATTGCCAAGACATGGTAAATTTCAAGTTCACATTACTTAAGAAATTTAATATACTAATACCTGCGTATGCTATTTTTCCCTTCTTTTTGTCAGTATCTTGAAGAGCAAAAGTATTTGAGCTTTTAATGTGGTATTGCAACATTGGGTTTCAAATCCCCTTTGCCCTGAAGTTATTTAGCATTTTTCCTCTAGCTTTTTCTACTCTAAAAGAATTAATTCAATTCATCTTACATTTCTCTAAAACCTCAATGCCCACCTTTCCAGGTATTTTTCTCCTTTCCTTTTTTTTTTTGTTTTTTAATATTTCTATTTTAAATCAGCACCATTAAGAAAAAGGTTCCCCAATTCAGGTTGTGAGTTGGGTACATTTATAAGTACGATGACTTTAGATGTAAATGTAAGTGACTCTGCTAAGGTGGAAGCCAGTAATAAAAACTTTGGTGCAGGAAGTGAAGCAGATTATTGCGATAGCTCTGCCCAGAGATTCTTCCTAGTCCAATTAGCACTGGGTCACACAGCTCTGCAAAAGTACAAAACCACAACCACCTCCATCCCTTTCCTTCAGAGACCAAAAAGGATGAGGAAATCTCTGTAACCCACTGCAACACCCTAAACTGTTTCCACCGATGTCAGTGGGAAACCATCCCATCGCATGAGGAGGAGCAGTTGATTGTCTCCCATTGCAAGGTGGCTCTTTCCTTCTCCCCTCATAGGCAAGAGGAGGAGGATGGAAAGTAGAAATGGCTTTGGCATGCTGGTGGATATAGATGACCATGAGCCATGAATTGCAAGGGACAAACTCATCTCTGCCACCTACAGCTGCCACACAGCTCTGAAAGTTTTGCATAGGTATTGAGAAAGCAGCTTCCTGACAGACCGCTCACTTCTGAAACACAAAGCTAAAAGATTATCTACAGTGATGAGGAGCCACGTCTCCATCGGCTCCAATGCCACCAAGCTAGAGAATAGGAAAATACATCAAACTGGAAATACAATTAAAATGTGTTTGGCATTAGATAGTAGGAAATTCTTCACCTTGAGGGTGGTGAGGCACTGGCACAGACTGCCCAGAGAAGCTATGGATGCCCCACCCCTGGAAGTGTCCAAGGCCAGGTTGGACGGGGCTTTGAGCAACCTGGTCTAGTGGAAGGTGTCCCTGCCCATGGTAGGGGGACGGGAACAAGATGGGCTTTAAGGTCCTTTCCTACCCAAATCATTTTATGATTAGGCCAACATAAAGCAGCACACAGCACACTGCCCTGCACCAGTTTATCATTAATTGTGCTAAACCAGGTTTGGTCAGGAACACTCCCCTTCTTGGGAGGCAGGGGACCTTCACTTAAATTTTCAGGTGGGTGCCACAGACAGACATAGACAGACAAACACTGCTGACTAGAGGTAGTTCAGAGCTATCAGTTTTTCCTTCTCTTGTCTTGGCCATCCCCTGGTAACTCCACAAAAGCTTTCCTCCAGAGAATAACCACATACATGCCTTGCAACATGTGCTTTCAGAAGGGCATTATTGCACTACACAGTGGTTTACTTAAAAAAATGGAAAAGCATGTTTAACTCAAGTCTGTCTAAAACAGCATGTGAAATAAGAGTTTATTTCTTTCCAAACCTGGGTAAGTACATAAAATTTATTCTTGGAACCAAAACACCTCACAGGCAGCCACTACTTTTCACTAGTGGCAGAAACAAAGTTATTAACTGAACACTGCATAATTTGTCCCCAAAAGGATGGAACAAGTTGCAAGGGATATGGTGGACACTCCCATCCATACACAGGCACTAAATAAGAAGCTCCATCCTGCCAAGAACTGATTACCTCCTTCCCTAGCCAGGTCCATCCTCCTCCCAAGTGTGGTTCATGGGACAGGTTGCTTATTAAGAGCACACATGAGCTTTAGTGTCAGTCCTGAGTGACCTGGGTCCTCCAGGATCACACATGAATTTCTATAATGAACTAAGCAACTGACTCTCTCGTAACAGCTTCAAACCACCTCTTTCATAAACCAACCACAGGAGAACTTAAAGACACCTAGGTAGGGTACTTGTGGTTTTGAAGACCAAAGCTAAGCCTCCTTTGCAGCGGCAGTTCTTAACATAATAGATTGAGACTGTTCTTCCACATTTTTCCTTCCTGAATCAGAACAACCAAAGATTAAACTCTAACAAAGAAACATCATTAAAAAGCAAGAGCTGGCAGAACAGGGCTAAATGACAAGAATCACTGCTCTGGATTAGCAACAGTTAATCCAAAACATGGGGGAAAAACAAACAAACAAACAAACAAAAAGGCTTAGAGAATTTGATCTTGCAAGTTAAAAGATCTATATATATACATGGTTTACAAACCAAGCAACTTTATTCCAAGAATAGAAATGAAATATAGGTCACTTCTGGATTCTTAATCAAAATACTGCAGTATTCCTGTTAGCAGACTTAATCTGGGATTCAGATTTATTTAGACCAAGTGATCAATCTGGACCCAAACAGAAAGCTTCTCCCATGCTGTGCACAGTCCTGCAGGAAGTCACACAGTGCCAACTTTAACTTACATTTATCAAGACTTCAGACAGAGGATTTGATCATTAGAAAGGATGAGGGGGAAGATGCAGGATTAATGTAAACTACAGTTTCGCTATAGAAGTAAGAACCATTGAAAGATGATAAAGATGTTTCAGATAGCAGTCTCCCTTGGTTTCCAGGGAGAAGACTGTTGAGTTTGTGCTGGATTTTTAACCAATTTGCATAACTGAATAAAAATACAGACCGGTGCAAATAAAGCACAATATGCCTTGAAGTACAGAAGGGTTACTCCTTCAAGGATCTCTGCCTGAATATTCAAGAGACAAGAACAGTTTAATAGCTTTCCTTATTCTTGCACAATCTACCTCACTTCCTACACCCCATGACAAAAGTAAGACACCCAGCAAGCCTCTTTTCCCAGGACATACTCCTTTTTGTCCTCAGAGATGGGAATTCACTGCTTACTCTTTTTGCTGAGGCACGTACAAGCTCCCTGGTCTCCCTTCCAGTTCAACCCAGTCTGACTCCAATAGCCATGCATTTCTTTAGTCTCAGCTTAAGAATCAGCAAGGACAAACTTCTCAGTCAGAAGCCCAAATGGCAATAAAATAATATACAAGGGGAGCTAAGGGAGTTACAAATCACCTCCCAAAAGCATGACACACGGAGAAAGCAGAAAGCCACCATTTGACCTAGTGGTGTGCTTTATGAACTCTCATCTTCTGGCTGTAAATAAACATATGGAAACTACCGCCACTCCTGTCACGGGCAAAATTGGTTGCTTAGTGCCTTCCACAGGCTTCAGGAATCTTTCAGAAACTTTCAACGGCGTAACGAGATTCATCAAGAGGGACATTTCCTCTGAGGAAATGTACACACACTGCTAATGAAAGCAAATTAATTGGGGAAAGTGTGTGTCCATGTGAGAGGGGAATATTTTGCTTTCACTACCACTGCTGAAGAATCTTATTCTCTTAGCAAGAATAGAACTGCTTGCAACACAGCCACCCCTTTTGCATTAAACTTTCTCAGCTTCAGCCTGAAAAGACCTCCCGCAGTTCCCTTCACATCACTATGTCAGAGTCCCATTCAGACCCTCTCCCACAGTAACAGTATTTCTGGCAAGCAGTCATTTCTGATCACATTCTGCTGTTTTCGCAAATGTCAATTCAGTTTCCCTTTTTTCAAAAAAAAAAGGAAGAATAGCTTTACTTGCCTGAACATCGAAGTCTGGAAGGAGGCGAGTGATAGCCTGTGAAGAGATTTTAAAGCATTAATGCAGATAATTTTGCATGTTCTAACCTACCAGTTTTGCAGCTGAGAGCTCTGTCCCATCCCTTCACTCAGTGAAAGCTCTCTTGCTGAATGCCAAAATTCACATGTGAGTTTTTACCCACTAAATTTTATGGAGAACATGAAAGCAGTAAAATACTAGATTATAGACCAGCAAAATAAAGCACAAAAGCTGGTACATCTTCAGTTTTTGTTACATCACTGGACAAGTCGGAGTAGTAAAATACTGAACTTTTCTCCATTGCTTAGTGTAGCCATGGGACAGTCAACAGCGCACCTCAGTCCCGCCTAGGATGGAAAGTCATTGTTCACGCACTAAGCACTTGCAAGTCAGTTAAGCAGTCTTTACCAGGATTTGGTTACAAGATGTGGAAGGTGGAAAGGGTTTTATCCCAGTCAAAATCAGGCCTGGTTATGTTTGGGAGGCTGGCTGGACATTGAGAAGCCCGTTCCAACCTGTGACTAGCCTTTGCTATTAGTGACAAGCTCCTATGCCTGTTGAGGATCAACACCAGAAAAGGAGTTAGATGACACTCTCCCCACGTCCAATAGCCAAAGAGGCTTATAACTTCAAAGGAAAAAGTCTCTTACAGTCATCTCCTCTTATTAAAGGACAAGGAAGAAGTCAAACTCTTATTTCCACTGGAGGGCTGAAAACAGAGGGAAGAGTAGCCAAGCAAACACTTTTTATGCTGCAGAGTACAACAGAGAAGCCAAAGCTTGAATAAAAGCATTGAGATAAAAAGCAAAGCTTAGGATCCTGGCAAGGAGGTCACTCAGTCCTAGAGGCCCAGGTAAATTAAGGACAGAAGACACCAGAAGCAACACAGCTGCTGTCTTGGGCAATATGGTCTCAGATGGTGGACCTCAAAGCATTGCGGTTCAACCCGTAATTATGACAGGACTCTAGAGCCATGATCTTTAGGCAATTAGGCAGTGTCCTGTACATACAAACAAGTAGCTAGAGCTGACCGAGCTTGTGGAAGTCACTTTACACAGCCTCAGCTTTAGACAATACGCTAGGTTTTAATCTTAATGTACTGCTGGTCTCACGACCTTTTAAACATAGCTAGTTTTATACACTGTTGTTCTAGTGGGGTCTAGAGTTGAAAGGAGTAAGTATGTGGCATCCGTATAGACAGCATAGGAAATAAGGCTCATCACTGTTCAGGAACGAAGACACTCAGCTGTAGAAGAAACCTAAGCATAACAAACCAAGATGGGTCTTCAGAGTGCATCACCCACTCAACACCAGCTCCACTGTTAACCTTAGCATGTGCTGACTGTCCTTCAGGGCATTCTTCTCCACTTTCTCAAAATACATTAAGTAACTTGCTTCATCTACGTTAAGAATGGTCACAGAGGATATCAAACTCTGTGCTAGTTTCCCCACGTAGACAAAACTTAAGGTAACATTGTGAATAAAAGTATATAGGGTTCATTGTCAAGATTCCAACTTTTCATCTACATCATCTACATGCTACAGAAACCCAGGAAGTTAATCAGTGTTTTAAGATATTTCTGAACTTTAAAGCAAAGACATTTCAGTACCCATAGGACTTCTGCTTAGTGTCTCCTTTGCTTTGGGACTACTGAACAATATTGGCATCAAAAAGGGATCTTAAGTTTCTGAGAAGTTTGAGTGCTGCATTCACTGGTATCCAAACAAGCTGTGCTTTCATGCAATGTCCTTGGCAAGGGAGCTGTGTTTAAAGTTCTCTAGCCACTTCACTGCAGTTGCAAGTGGAAATGATTTTCTGAAGTGTTTATGCAAAAAGAGGTAGGGAATAAAAAAGAAAGTAGCAGATAGAGCAATGAATAGTTCTAGAGCAGAAAACCAGAAAAAAACTCAACACATTTATACACATCCTTGTCAAGAATTGCAGTCTTTGGGAACAAAAGAAAAATCTTAGTTTTGATTCAAGAAAAAAGGCTTTACACTGAGATGTCCATAGGTATAGATGGATGTATGTGAGATTGTCCAATTGGCATAATTTAAAAATAGCTAAAGACACCTAGAGGTGTCATTATTCAGAAGAGAAAAAAATGTCACCACCAGATTAGCACTAGAGAAGAGTGAAACCAAAGACCAAAAAAGAGCAAATAATTAAGGCTCAGTTTTGTATTATTAAAAAAACCAACCATTCCTACTCCATCTCCAGTTTTACTTGTTTCTTCCATACGGTACGTTAGAACTAATCTAAGAACACATGTGCAGTTCCAACAGCTGTCCTGAAATAAAACACATAAACTCCGAAAAGCTTTAAAATAATTACCTCCTCCTTCTCCACCAGAGGTTTCACCTCTGCAAGGTGAGTATCCTGGAACTCCGTTGACATGGTCAGTAGCTGATATCTGCAAAGATGAAAAAAGATTTGTTCTCAGCTTGCATCAAAGATTAAATACAGGAACAAATAAAGATCCTGCTCCACTCAACCCCCCCACCAATAACCCACTGTCCCAGGTTATAGTTTGAAAGACCTTTGCAAGAAGGTTATGAATCTCTTGTAAAATGCCTCCCCGGTTTATTTATATACACACTCCTGCACAATATGAGATTAAAGAAATATTAAGGCTGCAAGATCAAAGTTTGGCAGCTTCAAAACAGGGAATGCCACAGGAAACAGGGCAGGGATCAGTATAGAGTGAGTCATGGAAACTGTCATTTCACAGGTGAAAGGAGGCATACCAAACCTGCACAACCACCTTCTGAAATTAGTTTGAGTACTTGCCTCTGAGATTTTGGGTTGTGGTGGTTTTTGGTTTTGTTTTGGTTTTGTTTTGTTGTTTGTTTGTTTTTTTTTAATGCAGGCTCCCTTCTCCATCCCCCAGATCTTTACTGTAAGAAAACTGAACTGGACACTCGTTAGCATCATTTTACTCTCAGATCGATGTGCTTCATTCTTTTGGATAGAAACACCTTCCTTGATCTGAACATACAGTACCAAGTAAAACAGGTATTCCTTTAAGAGGACACTAACAAGGTGCATGCAATAATGCTATTTTCAGAACTGTCAAAGTAAGGAACAAGATTGCTGTATCCTGCTCTAGGAAAGGACTGGAATCACGATACCCAGCCCTCGTCTGCAGGAAGCCTAACCGGGAACACGGATACGGCTGAACCCCAGAAGCGGTGACTGCCGAGGCAGAGGGAGCAGTGGGTTGTGCTGCAGGTCCCTTCCAACCCCGACCATTCTGTGATAGTCCAAACTGGGAGTTAAAAAGAACAACACGTTTACATTCTCTTGACAAAGATAAGGTGTCAGCAGCAGAGGGCTGTTCCCTGTGAAGCTCTAATGAATGACCAGAAACAGCTCTCAAAAGACACCAGAACTCTTTTAACAGCAAGATGACAAATACAAAAGTCAAAGTATGCTTGTTACACATCCTCTGGTCTGCTGAAGAAATGCATATCATGTGGGTTTTGGGCATCTTTGGACAAAATTTGAAGTTTATTAACTAAAAAACTATAAAACAAATCAATTATTTACTTTTTAAGGAAACTTTAGAACTGTCAAGTGAAACACATGAGTAAGCATACTCATAAAGCAAGTCAAAAGGCTGAAACACATTTAGGAATTATTGACTAAGCGTAACTGTAAACATTTTCGTTATTAACGATTTTCCTGAATCTAAGCACAACACTACAGAACAAAATTTAAATCAATTCTTTAAATCATGATTTTCCACCTCCTGACATAAATCTGATTTAAGCCAATCAACCTTGTCTACATAAAAGACCTGGTGCTCAAGAAGGGCTGTGAAGTATCCAGGAGCCAGCAGCAGCAGCGTCATTTTTACTCTGCCCCATGGGTTAACTTGATGCACTTTTCTCTGGGCAAAGATGCTCTGGTGAGAAAGTTTACAAGACGGTTGGATGCTGCAGGAAGCCATGAAGTGGCACACACAGATTAAGAAAGTTAATGCTGAAAACATGCTGGTGTCCATGCACATGCAAAGAGCTTCAGATTTTACAGACTCTTCTTGCTAGCTATGCAAGTGAGTGGATGTTCGGTAAAGAATTAGACCAGAGATTTTAAGCTTAGAGAAACGCTTCATGAATATTTAACCCCACCACTTGAAGCCTGGGGACAGGAACAAAACTGACCCCATTGCCAGTAATTTGGAATCCAAATTTACAACAAGGCACCAGAGCAGTCACTCTGATTCACCCTTTTCCTCCACATTTTCCACCAAGTTTTGCCTGTTACATATTTTAATCATAAAGAACAAGTGAAAAACAAGTTTGCCAAAATGTCAAACAACTGCAAGTGACATTTTAGAAACAGTGTTACATATTTTCGTAATTACGGCCATCTATGTAATCTGCCATTCTACACAGTGAGCAATTGTGCATAGCACAGAGGGAAAACAAATGCTGCTGCAATATTTGGCAGTCTAAAACATTTACATGCAATTGCACCTAACTCAAATGGCTTTTTTTTTTGCAATTCAGCAAATTCTGTTAAAACAGAAATAGCACCTTAATGTTGCACCTAATTCTGCAACAGAGACTAGAAGTGCAAGAGATTTTCCCATGTTTTGCCTATAGTGGAGGAAAGTAAGAAGCCAGGTCCCCTGCAGTTTTCCAGTAAGAAGCCGCCCAGGGAGAAAAGCCACGGCTAGTGTTTGTGGAAGAAAGTTGTTTACATGGGATAGTTTCAGATTTTCAGGGACTCAGAGCATTGACTACAAATGACCAAAAAAAGTGTGCCAAAAAGAACAAGATGGGTGCCTTTTATAACCTTAAAAAACAATCCTGTTTTCATAATAGTTCAAAGTTGTTGCTCTATGTTTCCGAAAGAACCAGCACTAGGAAGTGCTGACCAGCAGATTACACGGCTGCCATAAGGTCTGCTGAACAAAAGCCCAACGTGTACCAAGTTCTCGCTTTGGAAAGATACCAGATCTTGGAGCCACATAATGTTTTCCAGATCAGGCATTTCCAAGCTCTGCATTTTTCTTCTCTGCATCAGGAATACCTGAAACATTCCTACCAAGAAATAACCTTGCGATAAGGCGGCACAACAACATGCTATTTGTTCACAAGAGTTGGCAAACAAAGCCCCGCTATCTGACAGCATTGTAAAAAAAAAAAAAAAAAAAAATTTATTTTCCAAAGAGAAAGATGCTGGGGAAATGGTTTTGTACCACCCATGTTCAGCACAAATTTTATAATCTCTAAATAGGTGCTTTGTGCTCCCCCCCATTATGTGACAGGGTAGCTCGAAGTTAATGTAACTGCCTAACTCTCCTAAACAGATAACCATACAAGCATTCCTTTATACATGTTCCAAAGCACTTGCCTCACAAAAGTCTTCAAAAGACAAAGTTTATTTATATCTGCAAGCAGTAGTGTAAAGTTGCCAACTTGGAGAAAAACAACTTTTTTTCACTTCACTTGGCCAATTCAGCCTGCTGACGAGTCTCCAGGTTCTCTTCTCTGCAACAAGCCACTTCCACCCACCCAGCAGACACCCACCACCCTGCACCCAGATACCATTTACAATTGCTGCTCAGAGGATGAAGTTTTAAAATAAACATACTTCTAACTAAGAAAAAAAAAGAAAGGTTTAAGGCACCTTTGCAATTGGCAAAGTGCCTTCAAACCGATCATGTATCTACCTTTGCCAACTAGCAGGGAAGGCATGAAATCAGTCTCTAGGAAGCAAGAGGGCACATGGGAGAGGGTGAAGTCATCTGTGCAATACTGCGTTCACTAATTTCATTCAAAGAAGCTTTTCTGTACCTATACCCATACAATCACCGGAGCAAGGGTCATAACCAAGGTTATTAGCTCAGGAATCATTTTACTGAGTCTAATTATTTAGCTCTGTAAGGTTCAGAATATATCCCCTGCCCCTCTGCATCACTGCTGGGACAGTCATTGTTAGAGCCTTGTTTTGGTAGCAAGGGGTACAGAATGGATGAGTAGCCTGACTTTGCACAACAGGGATCCCAACAAAGGAGTTAAGAAGCCACACATCAGGCCATCCATCCTCAGACACCAGCAATGTTGCAATCGTAAGTACCAAACATTAGGCAACCCTAATATACATGGCTGAATTCGTTCCAAGCACAGAAGTAAAACAAATTCCAAAAATCCCTCATTTCAAACTTCACCATTCCAAACATACACATACAGTTGTCCAAGTCTGTACCACTGGGTGCATCTACTATTCCAAACATACACATACGGTTGTCCAAGTCTGTACCACTGGGTGCATCATCAAGCATCTCACATCCATGAAGGGCTGGGGGAACTGCTACCAGGACTACACGATTCACCTCTGCCCTCATACCCAAATGTTGTTTATTTACATGTTATCATGGAAAACAAAGAACAGGAAAAGACTTCTACCTGAGCCTTTCATAAAGAAGGCAATTTCCTCAAAACAGCTTGTTTAAACACTGGCAGCACAGATCATTCTCCTTTTGAGTGCTGATACACAGAAAGGTAACCTCGCCACAGCAGCCAGATGGCATTTCCATCTTTGCAGGCTGAGCAAGCAGGAGGGACAGTAATCACTTTACATGTGGGATTAAATACTCATGAGCATCTAAGGGCAAAGAGGGAGAAGGCCATGGGCTCTGAGGGTCACAGCTCCCAAGCACTGGTGTTGCTCTCTTTGGAGAGAGAAAGCACACGAGACTTGGGCTCCAGGGCCACGTGGGAGGTGTTTCCAAGCCAGCCACATCACTCTGCACTTTATCCCTTGAAAGCCACAAGTGCCTTCAGAGCTTAGGCACCAAAGTAGGTAGGAAGGACAGGGGTGGAAAATTGGGGCATTGTGCACCTGCAGCAGCTCAATGCACTGTTAAAGAAGAAGGGATAAGGCAAGGATGGAGAGAGCTGAGATGTCTCCAGAGCTCTGCAGAAGTTGATTAGCAAAAATCTCCATTAGTTCCAGGTCAGAAAATTAACCAAGCAGCTCAGGCCTCTGACAATGAAGCAAGCAAAGTTACCCTGACACTCAAACACCATTTGAGCCCTACATACAGTCAATTAGACCTCTTCCAGTCATTAACAGTAAATGCTGTAAAATAGTCTGAATGGCTCTAAAATAAAAAATGGTCACTGTTAATTGGAGAGCAGCTTGAAAAAACTTGTCTCCACTAAAGCGAGGCAAGTGGACATCAGTTAATAGCACCCATGTATGGTTATGGTCCACAATACATGCTCTCATTAACTGCAGTTTACATTTCAGATATTTTATAATAAACTTGACAAATCTATTCTTCCTGTTTGTGATTCATTTGGAAATTACGCATTTTGCAAGCATTCAAAACAGTTCATGCATAAGCATCTGCCCACATTATGCCCTGTTCAAGCTACTTTTTGTTACAGGCACT